AATGGATAGCTCTCGCCATTAAAAAAAGGTTGCTTTGGAAGTTTACCTGCCTTTTGACTACAAAATGCTATCACTCTCGTAATAATCACTCTCGTATCATGTAGCATATAATAAATAAGCGCTGGGATGAGAGATCCACTATGTTTTCACATGATGTACTCTTCTTTCATTTTGGGTCACAGTGGTGAAATCATATTTCATATCTCTGTATATGAGCTGGTTTAACTCTAAACATAGAGTTTATAACAATACTTACCATATCCATAATTTGGATTTACATCAATCACATTGCAATAAAGTAATTACCATATTTTTACATGTGATCTTCTAAACAAATTTTCCATACAAAGCTTTCTTGAATAAACTATTAATACAAAAGAATAGAGGAATAAATATACTATTAGCACATAACAATTAAAAGAATTCAATAATGAAAAACAAAAAATAAAGTTTCTTTCTTATGTATATCATACTGTAAATTTTTTAAATTTTAGACTCAGTTCATTGGAGCTCTAAATTCTAAATCATTTGAACTGGCCTTCTTATTAGTCCTATTGCCAGTTTTTGATCGAACATATGAGCGAACTTTCGCTGTCTCTATGATTCTACCAGGAAAAGTCTCTATGATTTTACCTAGAGACCACATATTTCTTGGGTAGCGTTCTTCACAGATTAACACTATGTCATTTGATTTGAATTCAGTTGCCTTTGAATTTTGCTGGCACATATTAGCAGATCTTAAATTTAATAATAACCTTTTCACCAGCATTTCCAAAAATTATTTAATATATTCTGCTGATGTTTGAATTTTTTCACAATAGATTTTCTCGATCCTGATAAATCATCCTTAGATATTCTAGTTGGAGGAAGGGATAGCAAACGTCTACCTATCAAAAAATGTGCAGGAGTGAGTGGAGAGGGTTCTGAGGGTTCACTATATAAGTAAGTAATGGGCCTGGAATTGATCATGGCTTCAATCTCAACGAACACTGTTTCCAGTTCATTGAAGAGAGAGAGCGATGAACGGCCAACAATTTTTCTAAGACTTGTTTTGGTCGTTCTGATCATTCTTTCCCAAAATCCTCCCCACCATGCTCCTCTTTCAATTATATATTTCCAATGAATATTGTGAGAAGAGAAGAAATTCTTTACAGAAGGAATCAGAAATGAAAAGTCCACAGTTTTTTTTTAGTTCAGTGTCTGCGCGTTTGAATGATTTTGCATTGTCACTGTATATAATTGAACACAATCCTCGTCGTGCTATAAATCTTCTAAAGGCTAAAAGAATGCTTCCGTACTCATCGAAGGTACCAGTTCTAAATGAATAGCACGCGTTACTGCACAAGTGAATACTAAAAGGTAATGTTTATTGTTGCTCTCTTTAGTGAAAAATGGTCCAGCATAATCCAATCCAGTTACAGCGAACGGTGGTGACTGAAGAATTCGATCTGGAGGAAGTGGAGCTACGTCTTGAACTCCAGGGCGAACACTGTATCTTTTGCAAATCACGCATCTGCTCAACAAGGATTTAATTCGCTGTCTGCCTTTGACAACCCAAAATGTTTCACGCAGGTGCGTCAGAGTTGAGTCCACTCCGGAATGAAATACCATTTCATGTGCGTTGAAAATTAACAGATCGACGTATCGACACTTTGATGGAAGTATCCATGGATGCTTGGCAGATTCCAGACAGTCTGCAAATTGTATTCTGCCTTTTAACCGTAGAAGTCCGTCTTCGTCGAGCTCAGGATTCAGCGAGTAAATATTGGAAACATTTGTCAACTGACTTTCCTTGAGATAAACCGAGGATTTCCTTTTCGAAAATATTGAAATTGCATGTTTTTAATCCAAGTATTTTTTCTGCATTCATTTATTTCAGAAGCGGTTAATGGTCCACAAAGTCTTTCGGATCTAGGGTTAGAATTGTTGATGAACCTATATATCCACGCTGTTATTCGGTATACCTTGTTTAATTTACTAAACTGATTTAAATCGAGCAATGAATATAGAACTTTGTTCAGAGTCCTTGTTGTTAATTAACAGCTTGTAGGGACATTATGAGTCTTTCTCTTTTCTAACGGATATCTCTTCCTCCTCATTTCTTCCATGCTCGGTCTTTTGAGGCCACAAATTTTCAGGCTGGATAAGCCAACTTGGTCCGTTTTACCACAATGGACTGGAGATGATGGTCTCAGCTCGTTCCCCTCGAGACAATAGATCTGCAGGATTTTCTTTGCTACTGCAATGGTACCACTGGTTAGCGTTGCAAATTGCCTGGATTTCTCCTACACGGTTGCCAACGAATGGCTTCCTTGACATTTGGTGATTTCCTTAATCCAATGTAGCATTATTTGGGAGTCACTCCAAAAGATAATATTGTTGCGTAACATAGGTAAAACGTATTTTAAATACTTAGCTAAGCGAGCAGCTACAACAGCTCCCATTAGCTCACATCTGGGGAGGGTTAAAGATTTGAGGGGAGCTATTCTACTTTTTTTGCCATTATGAAACTGGTTTTTAATTTCCTTATTTTCATCAGAGTATCTAAAATATGCCACTGCTCCAAACAAAGCTCTAGGTGTCGCATCACAAAATATAAAACTCTCAGCTGCGTGTAATTAATTTTATGAAAGATGATGAGCCTGATGTACATTTCTAGGGAATTCGGTAATTTTTAAACATTTAATTTCTGCACACCAGTTCAACCACCTTTTCTGGATATCTGTGGGAAGCGCAGCATCCCATTCTAAACCCAGAAGACAAACGTCTTGTAAATGATCTTAACCCGAACTATAAATGGTTGCAAATATCCGATAGGGTCAATATTTTGGCGACAGTTTTCAATATCAGTCTTTTTGTGGCGCCTTCACCATTTCCAACTGACTCCTGAACTGGTTTCATGTTTAACTTTATTACATCGTTTCTAGGATCCCAAATCATGCCCCCAAATTTTGTTCCTTTATTGAAATCATCTTCCCTTTAATATTTGACTTCATCCATAATGTATTTAATTCATCTGAATTCGATTTCAGTTTTCTCAATTCATACCCGCATCGTGAAAATATTTACAGCATCTACAGACAATCGGTATGCATCTTCTACAGTTTTACCTCCATAAAATAGGTCATCAACGTAATTAGAAGAATTAAGCATTTTAAAACACACGAGATGGTCCTCTTTATACCCTTTGATGTGATATGTTATTGTAGCAGCCAACAGAAAGGGACTAACCGCTGTTCCGAAAGGAACAACAAAGAAATTTATTTACATGATTACTGCAATAAAGTGTAGTATTAATTGTGCCGTTAATTATTAGGGCCGGCAACTCCCTTACAAGCATTCTTACTGATTTGTTAAGCAATTCTGTACTGAAGAGCCAGGTGGTTTCTCAACACTCCCCACCTAAACTCTAAACATAGAGTTTATAACAATACTTACCAATATCCATAATTTGGATTTACATCAATCACATTGCAATAAAGAAATTACCATAGTTTTACATGTGATCTTCGAAACAAATTTTCCATACAAAGCTTTCTTGAATAAACTATTAATACAAAGAATAGAGGAATAAATGTACTATTAGCACATAACAATTAAAAGAACACAATAATGAAAAACAAAAATAAAGTTCTTTATTATGAATATCATACTGTAAATTTTTAAATTTTAGACTGTCATTGAGCTCTAAATTCTAAATCATTTGAACTGGCCTTCTTATTAGTCTATTACCAGTTTTGATCGAACATGAGCGAACTTTGCCGTCCGTTCCAGGAAAAGTCTCTATAATTTTACCTAGATACCACATATTTCTTGGGTAGCGTTCTTCAGAGATTAACACTATGTCATTTGGTTTTAATTCAGTTACCTTTGAATTTTGCTCACACATATTCGCAGATCTTAAATTTAATAAGTAACCCTTTCGGCAGCATTTCCAAAAATTATTTAATATATTCTGCTGATGTTTGAATTTTTTCACAATAGATTTTCTCGATCCTGAAAAATCATCCTTAGTTATTCTAGTTGGAGGAAGTGATAGCAAACGTCTACCTATCAAAAAATGTGCAGGAGTGAGTGGAGAGGGTTCTGTGGGTTCACTATATAAGTAAGTAATTCGCCTGGAATTGATCATGGCTTCAATCTCACTGTTTCACGAACACTGTTTCCAGTTCATTGAGAGAGAGCGATGAACGGCTAACAATTTTTCTAAGACTTGCTTTGGTCGTTCTGATCATTCTTTCCCAAAGTCCTCCCCACCATGCTCCTCTTTCAATTATATATTCCCAATGAATATTGTGAGAAGAGAAGAAATTCTTTACAGAAGGATCAGAAATGCAAGTCCACAGTTTTTTTTAGTTCAGTGTCTGCGCTTTTGAATGATTTAACATTGTCACTGTATATAAATGAACACAATTCTCGTCGTGCTATAAATTTCTAAAGGCTAATAAGAATGCTTCCGTACTCATCGAAGGTACCAGTTCTAAATGAATAGCACGCGTTACTGCACAAGTAAATAGTAAAAGTTAATGTTAATTGTTGCTCTCTTTGGAGAAAAATGGTCCAGCATAGTCCAATCCAGTTACAGCGAATGGTAGTGACTGAAGAATTCGATCTGGAGGAAGTGGAGCGACATCTTGAACTCCAGGTTGAACACTATATCTTTTGTAAATCACGCATATGCTTAACAAGGATTTAAGCTGTTGTTTGCCTTTGAAAACCCAAAATTTTTCACACAGGTGTGTCAGAGTGGTGTCTATTCCGGAATGAAATACCCATGTGCGTTGAAAATTAACAGATCGACGTATCGACACTTTGATTGAAGTATCCATGGATGCTTAGCAGATTCCAGACAGTCTGTAAATTGTATTCTGCCTTTTAACCGTAGAAGTCCGTCTTCGTCGAGCTCAGGATTCAGCGAGTAAATATTGGAACATTTGTCAACTGACTTTCCTTGAGATAAACCGAGGATTTCCTTTTCGAAATATTGAAATTGCGTGTTTTTAATCCAGTATTTTTTCTGCATTCATTATTTCAGAAGCGCTTAATAGTCCACAAAGTCTTTCGGATCTAGGGTTAGAATTGTTGATGAACCTATATATCCACGCTGTTATTCGGTATACCTTGTTTAATTTACTAAACTGATTTAAATCGAGCAATGAATTATAACTTTGTTCAGAGTCCTTGTTGTTAATAACAGCTTGTAGGACATTATGAGTCTTTCTCTTTTCTACGGATATCTCTTCCTCATTTTCTTCCATGCTCGGTCTTTTAGGCCACAAATTTTCAGGCTGGATAAGCCAACTTGGTCCGTTTTGCCACAATGGACTGGAGATGATGGTCTCAGCTCGTTCCCCTCGAGACAATAGATCTGCAGGATTTTCTTTGCTACTGCAATGGTACCACTGGTTAGCGTTGCAAATTGCCTGGATTTCTGCTACACGGTTGCCAACGAATGGCTTCCAGACATTTGGTGATTTCCTTATCCAATGTAGCGTTATTTGGGAGTCACTCCAAAAGATAATATTGTTGCTTAACATAGGTAAAACGTGTTTTAAATATTTAGCTAAGCGAGCAGCTACAACAGCTCCCATTAGCTCACATCTGGGGAGGGTTAAAGATTTGAGGGGAGCTATTCTACTTTTTGCCATTATGAAACTGGTTTTAATTTCCTTATTTTCATCAGTGTATCTAAAATATGCCACTGCTCCAAAAGCTCTAGGTGTCGCATCACAAAATATATGAACGCTCAGCTGCGTGTAATTAATTTTATGAAAGAACTTTCTAGGGAATTCAGGAGTTTTTAAACATTTCATTTCTGCACACCAGTTCAACCACCTTTTCTTGATATCTGTGGGAAGCGCAGCATCCCATTCTAAACCCAGAAGACAAAGTAAAATGATCTTAACCCGAACTGCAATATCCGATAGGGTCTTTGGCGACAGTTTTTCAATATCGGCCTTTTTTGTTGGCGCTTTCACCATTTCCAATTGACTCCTGAACTGGTTTCATGTTTGATTTTATGACATCGTTACTAGGATCCCAAATCATGCGCCAAAATTTTGTTTCTTTATTGAAATCATCTTCCCCTTTAATATTTGACTTCATCCGTAATGTAATGTATGTAATTCATCTGAATTCGATTTCAGTATTCTCAAATTCATACCCGCATCGTGGATCGAATCCATTTTCTCCTCTCTGTAACGAAAGGAACAACAAAGAAATTATTTACCTGATTACTGCAATAAAGTGTAGTATTAATTGTGCCGTTAATTATTAGGGCCGGCAACTCCTTACAAGCATTCTTACTGATTGTTAAGCAATTCTGTACTGAAGAGCCAGGTGGTTTCTCAACACTCCCACCTAAACTCTAAACATAGAGTTTATAACAATACTTACCAATATCCATAATTTGGATTTACATCAATCACATTGCAATAAAGAAATTACCATAGTTTTACATGTGATCTTCGAAACAAATTTTCCATACAAAGCTTCTTGAATAAAACTATTAATACAAAGAATAGAGGAATAAATGTACTATTAGCACATAACAATTAAAAGAACACAATAATGAAAAACAAAAATAAAGTTCTTTATTATGAATATCATACTGTAAATTTTAAATTTTAGACTGTCATTGAGCTCTAAATTCTAAATCATTTGAAACTGGCCTTCTTATTAGTTCTATTACCAGTTTTGATCGAACATGAGCGAACTTTGCCGTCCGTTCCAGGAAAAGTCTCTATAATTTTACCTAGATACCACATATTTCTTGGGTAGCGTTCTTCAGAGATTAACACTATGTCATTTGGTTTTAATTCAGTTACCTTTGAATTTTGCTCACACATATTCGCAGATCTTAAATTTAATAAGTAACCCTTTCGGCAGCATTTCCAAAAAATTATAAATATTCTGCTGATGTTTGAATTTTTTCACAATAGATTTTCTCGATCCTGAAAAATCATCCTTAGTTATTCTAGTTGGAGGAAGGTGATAGCAAACGTCTACCTATCAAAAAATGTGCAGGAGTGAGTGGAGAGGGTTCTGTGGGTTCACTATATAAGTAAGTAATGGGCCTGGAATTGATCATGGCTTCAATCTCACGTTTCACGAAACACTGTTTCCAGTTCATTGAGAGAGAGAGCGATGAACGGCCTAACAATTTTTCTAAGACTTGTTTGGTCGTTCTGATCATTCTTTCCCAAAGTCCTCCCCACCATGCTCCTCTTTCAATTATATATTCCCAATGAATATTGTGAGAAGAGAAGAAATTCTTTACAGAAGGATCAGAAATGCAAGTCCACAGTTTTTTTTAGTTCAGTGTCTGCGCTTTTGAATGATTTAACATTGTCACTGTATATAAATGAGCACAATCCTCGTCGTGCTATAAATCTTCTAAAGGCTAAAAAGAATGCTTCCGTACTCATCGAAGGTACCAGTTCTAAATGAATAGCACGCGTTACTGCACAAGAGAATACTAAAAGGTAATGCCTTATTGTTGCTCTCTTTAGTGAAAAATGGTCCAGCATAATCCACACCAGTTACAGCGAACGGTGGCGACTGAAGAATTCGATCTGGAGGAAGTGGAGCTACGTCTTGAACTCCAGGGCGAACACTGTATCTTTTGCAAATCACGCATCTGCTCAACAAGGATTTAATTCGCTGTTTGCCTTTGACAACCCAAAATTTTTCACGCAGGTGCGTCAGAGTTGAGTCCACTCCGGAATGAAATATCATCCCATGTGCGTTGAAAATTAACAGATCGACGTATCGACACTTTGATTGAAGTATCCATGGATGCTTAGCAGATTCCAGACAGTCTGTAAATTGTATTCTGCCTTTTAACCGTAGAAGTCCGTCTTCGTCGAGCTCAGGATTCAGCGAGTAAATATTGGAACATTTGTCAACTGACTTTCCTTGAGATAAACCGAGGATTTCCTTTTCGAAATATTGAAATTGCGTGTTTTTAATCCAGTATTTTTCTGCATTCATTATTTCAGAAGCGGTTAATGGTCCACAAAGTCTTTCGGATCTAGGGTTAGAATTGTTGATGAACCTATATATCCACGCTGTTATTCGGTATACCTTGTTTAATTTACTAAACTGATTTAAATCGAGCAATGAATTATAACTTTGCTCGGTGTCCTTGTTGTTAATAACAGCTTGTAGGACATTATGAGTCTTTCTCTTTTCTACGGATATCTCTTCCTCATTTTCTTCCATGCTCGGTCTTTTGAGGCCACAAATTTTCAGGCTGGATAAGCCAACTTGGTCCGTTTTTGCCACAATGGACTGGAGATGATGGTCTCAGCTCGTTCCCCTCGAGACAATAGATCTGCAGGATTTTCTTTGCTACTGCAATGGTACCACTGGTTAGCGTTGCAAATTGCCTGGATTTCTCCTACACGGTTGCCAACGAATGGCTTCCAGACATTTGGTGATTTCCTAATCCAATGTAGCATTATTTGGGAGTCACTCCAAAAGATAATATTGTTGCGTAACATAGGTAAAACGTATTTTAAATACTTAGCTAAGCGAGCAGCTACAACAGCTCCCATTAGCTCACATCTGGGGAGGGTTAAAGATTTGAGGGGAGCTATTCTACTTTTTTGCCATTATGAAACTGGTTTTAATTTCCTTATTTTCATCAGAGTATCTAAAATATGCCACTGCTCCAAAAGCTCTAGGTGTCGCATCACAAAATATATGAACTCTCAGCTGCGTGTAATTAATTTTATGAAAGATGATGAGCCTGATGTTAACATTTCTAGGGAATTCGGTAATTTTTAAACATTTAATTTCTGCACACCAGTTCAACCACCTTTTCTGGATATCTGTGGGAAGCGCAGCATCCCATTCTAAACCCAGAAGACAAACGTCTTGTAAAATGATCTTAACCCGAACTATAAATGGTTGCAAATATCCGATAGGGTCAAATATTTTGGCGACAGTTTTCAATATCAGTCTTTTTGTGGCGCCTTCACCATTTCCAACTGACTCCTGAACTGGTTTCATGTTTAACTTTATTACATCGTTTCTAGGATCCCAAATCATGCCCCCAAATTTTGTTTCTTTATTGAAATCATCTTCCCTTTAATATTTGACTTCATCCATAATGTATTTAATTCATCTGAATTCGATTTCAGTTTTCTCAAATTCATACCCGCATCGCGAAAAATATTTACAGCATCTACAGACAATCGGTATGCATCTTCTACAGTTTTACCTCCATAAAATAGGTCATCAACGTAAATAGAAGAATTAAGCATTTTAAAACACACGAGATGGTCCTCTTTATACCCTTTGATGTGATATGTTATTGTAGCAGCCAACAGAAAGGGACTAACCGCTGTTCCGAAAGGAACCCGACACATGCGCATAATATAACATGATTTCTCAACATTCCCAAACCAAAGAAATCTTAAGTAATCCCTATCATTTTCTGCAATGCTAATCATTAAAAGTGCCTTTTCTATGTCCCCACAAAATGGTATTTCAGGTTCATGAAACCTCAGGATCACGTCAAGAACATTCGGATTCAAATTTGGACCAGTTTCTAGACATTCGTTTAAGGATTTGAAGTTTCCGGTCTTCGAAGAAGCATCGAAAACTACACGGTCACTAGTAGTCTCAGAATCGCAAATTACAGCACGGTGCGGCATATAATACTGTGAAAGTTTAATTTCATTAGGGCATTTTTCGACTATATTTTCCCTTAACTGCTCTTCAATAATTCCCCTATATTTTTGCAATATTTCTGGAGTTTTCTGTAATTTTTGCTTTAAAAATTCAAAGCGCTTTTTTGCGATATCAAAATTATTTCCTAATTCTTCCGTAGTAGATTTCCACAATAATTGACATTCGTATCGCCCGTTTTTAAAACTTATATCTCTTTCAAAACGGATGATTAGATCGTTATCAGTTTGATTAAATTCATTTTGCCCTTCATTTATTATTCCCATTGAATCGAGTTGCCAAAACACGCTTAAACCATCTGACAACGAGGCATTCCCTACCATTACTGCTAAGTGCTTGGAATCGTTTCCTTCTTTTAGTTTATTTTTTTCATTTCCCAATAACAGTCATCCAAAAATGGAATTTACAGCTTGGATGTGTTTATTTTATGCGTTTCCGACTTGTAAGTACTACATCCCAGAATCTGTCGGCGCCAATTAATATTCCCACATGTTGTAATTCTTCATTGTTGTTTACACTTAAATCTGCTGAATGTAAACCTAAGCCTTTCATTTTTCGAGTGTGTTATGCCTGGGACTTTTTATGGAACAAGCTGATATCGTGTTAATCACTAGGCATTCTAATTTTATTTTATTCTTTTGATTTCTATCTCTTAATTCAATTACGACCACAGGAAAATTCTCAACTATTGGTTTCTTATTGATCAAGAAGGATACGAACAACTTTAGTTTTGTTTTCGTTGCAAGCTAAACCAGTACATGTTTGTAGTAAAGTATTTTTTGAAACAGAAGTATTACACTGAGAAACCAAAGTGTTAGTATTAACATTTGACACTAAAGTTTCCTTTTTCGAGCTCGTGGCAACTGATTCATTTTCAGATAAATTACATGAATTTGATTTTTCCTCATTACCTTTTAAACAGATAGATTCATAATTATTTTTGCCATATCATTTAATACATACATTTTTATCTCTACAAAAACGACTCAAATGAAATTTATTAAAACATATAAAACATGGATTTTGCGCTTTGAGAATATTTATTTTCTCAGTAACCCCTTTACAGCATTTAAAAGAATCGTGATGTTTTTCACAGAAGATGCATACTCGTTGTACTGTAGTGTTAAATGCACTAGCCGTGGGTGTATTTCTGCTGTGTCTTTTATTTATAGCTTTCTGATTATAATAATTAGTAAACGTTTTATTTTCACCGCAAGCCAATAAAGTACTTTCGCGACATTCGACCTCCGTCTTTAAGAATAAAATGAATTTAGAAATGTCAACG